AACTAGAGGAGGTCCCTCTCTCTCCCCTCCCCTCCCCCTCCTTCTCCTTTGTCTTCACCCCCTCCTGCCTCCCCTCACCATCTTCTCCTTTACTCCCTCTCCTCTCTGCTAAGTAAGAACACTAAGAAAATATAGTGATCGGCAATCCAGGAAGAAGGCTTTTGCTAAGAACCTGACCATGCTGGCCCCTTGCTCTCAGATGTTTAGGTTCAAGTACCATAAGAGGGGGAAGGAGCCGGAACAAGAGGAACAATTGGGAAGAGGAAGGGTTTAGGGGGACAAGACGAGGAACAAGAGGAAAGACAGCTAGAACTCGGGGTCATTTGAGGGGAGTATGGAAACCTAATACAGAAGTTTCCTAAAATATTTTCATATATGAAAGTGGTATGAATGAAATTGCCTAAATAATGGAGGAGACAGAGCTCCAAGCGGCCATTTCTTGTCACCAAATGAAGTTTTCAGTACTGAGATTGGGTGAGTTGTTGGCCAAAATGGGCCCATGGGAACCCCCAAACAACCTAGGCTGTTGCCAAGATTATAGGTTGCTCTCCACAAACTGACAGCTCCATTACTAAGGACAACACCCATACAACCATATGGAGATGTCAAGCTGGCTCCTACATAGAGCCTTTGCACCTATGTGCTAGTGTCTTGGTAAAGCCAGGTACTCTGTATGTTACCAAAGGAGAATGCAAATACCAACAGAGCCACTAATCCTTTGCTCTGCAATGGTATCCTGCCTGAAAGATGAGCTAGTGCACAGCTGTGGCACAAAGTTTATAGAAATAATCAATTGACATTTGATTTGACTTAAGGCTCATTCCCCAAGAGAGACACCACACCTGACACCCTTTGGGTGACCAAAAAACTGGAATTAGATAGCTCAGGCACACAGGGTAAAATACTGCTAAAATAAATTTTAGAATTTTTATTCTAAAAAATAAAACACAATGAAAAAAAGTAGCAATAAGATGAATTCCAATGACATTTTGTTATACTCATGAATCAGTGCCATAAAACGTTGCTCGACCATCATCGGAGAAGCTTCTGTGGTGGTTTGAATAGGTACTCAGGTGTTTGATAGGGAGTGGCACTATTAGGAGATGTGGCCTTGTTGGAGGAAGTGAGTCTCTGAGAGGATAGGCTTTGAGGCCTCCTATGCTAAGCTATGGCCAGCACACAGACTACCTATCCTGCCTGCAGAACAAGAGGTAGAAATCTCAGTTCCTTCTCCAGCATCATGTCTGCCTGCATGCCGCCATGTTCCACCATGATGATATTAGACAAAACCTCTGAAACACTAAGCCACCCCAATTAAATGTCATGGACATGGAGTCTCTTCACAGCAATCGAGGCCTTAAATAAGACAGCTTCTTCCTGGAACAGATAGAAAAAATGCACCCCGATAATGTGCAGAGAATGAGAGACCTTACAACACTGGGATCTAAATGGGCTGTCTCCATCAAATCCCTCCCTTCAGGACTCAGGGACCCCAGGAAGAGGAGAAGGAAAGAGTGTAAGAGCCAGAGGAGAGGAGGACACCAAGAAACCAAGGGTCTCTAAATCAACATGATCAATATAGGTATGAACTCACAGAGACTGAAGCAGCAGCACAGGACCTGCATGGGTCTGGACCAGTTGAGATCCTAGAGTTGAAAATAGAACATGTTCCCCTGTCCCAAAACCTTAAGAAATCTCCAATATATAACCAGTTGTAAATGAAAATTTAGTTTCCTTCAAGGAAGTTCTACTGGATAAACAAACAAGCCTATCTTAAGGATAGGCTCCATGCCCAGCAGTAGATGGACAACCAAAAATGAACTCAAGGGCATCTTTGGAAGGTTCTTGTCTCATAATGTCATGTCAGGGCTCTGATTTTTAAATTATCTTATTTTTATTTTATTAATATATAGTTTTCTTCTCTCTTTTTACCCTACAGATCCTTAGTAGTTTAGTGTTTTTTTTTTTTTTTATGGGATTTGTGAGTGTACCAATCAGTGGGTCTCTGTTTCTTGTGCCTTCTCCTGGGCTCTTTTTCTTCTGTTTTTTTTTTTTTTTTTTTTTTTTTGGTCTAATTCTGATGTGTTAGTTTTTGTTTTATCTTTTTATATTATATTAATATTCCATGGATGCCTGTTTGTTTTCAAATGAGAGACAGAAGGAGAGTGGATCCAGGTGGGAGCTAAGGTAGGGAGGAGCTGGGGAGAGGAGAGGGAAGGGAAACTGAGAAATGTGAGAAAAAATCTATTTTCAATAAAAGGGGTAAAAAGAAAAAGACACTAAAGAGGATAATACCGAATGGAAGGAAGGAAGGAAGGAAGGGGAGAAAGGAAGGGAGGACAGAAGGAAGGAAGGAAACAAGCTACCCCACCTATGGTATTTTTACTGCAGCAGCCCAAACTGACAGATTTCTCATACATTAATGGTCCCTGAACAACCACGTGACCCATTGCTCCCACACCACATTGTTACTCTCCCATGTTGACTCTATACTTGACCACGTCTTTTCCAACACAATACCAAACGTGAAAACAGTGTAATAGGAGTGTAATAGGAAAAGCTTGGGCTTTGGAGTGAGAAAACCCAGCCTAACACCCAATCCCACACCAGAGATCTTTACTCTGTCAGCTCAGGCTGTAGAAAATGCATCAGATTTCTATGGTTCTGGCCTTGCAAAGGCAGTTTGTAACTGCACAACGAGACTCATGCTTGAAGCCTGGCTCTGCTATTTACCAGCTCTGTGGAGTTCCGGTCAGTCATTTGAAATCTCTGAATTCAGATCCCTCATCAATGAAATGGGTAGAGCAATACTAATTATGAAAAACTCGTTAGTCAAAGAGCACATCAGAAGTTGTAGACAAAAGTTGCAATTACTATTGAAAGGGTCTGTAATTTTTGTAGCAATGATTGTACTTGTGTACTGCAATCTTGTTCAACATATTTCCATAGATTATACATTTTAATTTCATAAACTAGAAAAACATAAGCAAATACACAAGAAAATTTCTTACCACCTTAAATTAATAATCATCAATATTCGGGTGCCTGGGCATTCAGATATTTTTGCAAAGACTGGGACATATTATTAATGCTGTCTTGTAAACTGTCTGATTTATTTGTTCGTTTATTTATTTATTTAAAAGCACATTAAGAACATCTTTGTATGTCTATAAACAAATTACCAAGACTGCATTATTCATGGGGATAGCATGTTCCATTACCTGGATATAATTACAATATACCTAAGAAATTCCAATGTTCACATTTAATAGTTGCTCTAATTTTGTTTATTTAAAATTCTAAGCCATATGCAAATCAAATCAACCACCAGACTTTAACAGAAAAAATATTTCATGTTAAATGTAATAGGCAACCAGGATCTATGCCTAGTGCATGAGCTGGTGTTTCGAAACCTATTCCATATGGAGAGATTATTAGTGTTCAGGCATCTGCACTGGCCTGTCCTTGGGGTTCTGACAGGATACACCCTCAGCTGCAGCCACTAAGAGCACCACCTGTGCACATTCACTACGTTCCCTTTTCAAAGGGCCCTGTCCACCTCCCATCCTCCTCTCTGCCTCTCCCTCAGTCTGTCTCCCCCGACCCTGCTGCTCCTGTCCCAGGAGGAGGCTGGTCTCCCCTCCTCCCCTTTCCACTTTTTATGATCCCTTTCCCTAATAAGAAACCCCTCCACCTGAGCTCTGTCTCATGGCATCTTTCTCTCCAGCCACTTTTGTTAAATTGATGTGTGGTGGTGGGGTGGTGTTGTTCCTGCCTCAACTAGATGTGCCAGGCTTTGTTGACTCCCCATGGGAGTCCTCACCCTTTCTGAGGAGTAGATGGGGCAGGGAGGGAGAACTGTGATTGGTGTGTAAAATGAATTTAAAAAGTAAAAATAAAAACATAAAAATGTAGTAGGCATATCCAATTTATCGATGCCACATTGGGATTTAAAAATATAGACCCAGTCATGAAATGCACATGTGACTCACACCTTCCCAGAGCCCACATCCCTGCCTGTGAATGGCTGAGGCTGACTGGAGGAGGACTTTAGCATCACTGCAGGAATGGTCCTCACATCTCCCTGGCAGGGATGCTGCAAAAATGCGAGGAAAAGTCTTTTCTGTTTTCCATCCTAAGGATCTACAGGAAAACAGTCTCTCAGTATGATTTACACCTGGGAGGGAAGTAGAGCTGGGCAGGGAGAATGCTGGTTCACTGAAACAACTTGATCCCAGCCAAGAAAATGACGGCTTGGTCTGTTGAAGAGCCTGCACAGTGAGTGTCAGGGTCACTCCCAGTAGACAGGAGAGTTTTCTCTGTCTCCAGCATCTCTACTCTTTGCCTTGCTGCACTGACCTTTTTTAACGGAAGAAATCACCCAAATCTCAGATGATTGTCTACGCATATATGCTGCCAGCAGAACAAGGTTTACAAACGACATCGCAGTTCAAAAACCAGCTGTCATATTTATGAGAATTTCTTAGGAAAGAAATAATCGTGGGCCAGTGAGATGGCTTAGGGAGTAAAGGCATTTGCCATCGAGTCTGGAGACCTGAGTTCAGTCCCCGGAGCCCACATGGAAGAAGAAAATGGACGTCTGCAAAACTCCCCCTGACCTCCATGCAGCCATCATTACAAACAGCATGTGTGTACTCACACAAAAATAATTGTTTTAATAAATAAAAGTAAATCATACTTCTTGGAACCTCAACAGGGGTCAGAAGTTTCCCATCACAGACAGCTACACAGTGCAGAACAACTGTTCAAACACATCAGCTAGCTTGGTTTACATTAACCAAATGGCTTGTTCATTAGTATTTTCCGATAGCATTGAGTTGCATGGTGTTATGAAACACACAGCATGCTTTGAATGTGAAAGTCTATATAATTTTTTTCTGAATATCCTTGATCTGTGTTTGGTTGAGTCCACAGATGCAGAATACAAGCATGGGGACCACTAACTGTAAACCCTCCATAGACTCAGTTTTACAACTTACCAGTGAGGTTCAGGTGCCCAGTACTCTTCATGGAAATCTTTCTGGAAGTCAGAGAATCAGCTCTGCTTTTCCCAGCAAGAATGCCCATTTTTTAATTTTATTTAATGTGGTGAGTCTCTGATAGGATCGCTATACCCAACACAGATGTCTCTGGTTCACCACTTAATTTGAATTGCTCAGTGGTTTAACTAGAAAGCCTTTGCTGTTTATTCGTTTGAGGGAAGATACGTTCCATGTGGACAAACATCCTGAGGCCTGGGTGGCCTCAGACTGGGTGAAACTTTCTCCGACTTCAACCTTGTCTTCTCACTGGCATTTGCATGAGTACAAATGTCAAGGACTAATCAGGATGAGAAACAAGAGGATCTGTTCTGGAAGGACCCGAGGGTCCGTCACTGCATTTATTCTCAAGCCTTCTTGATTGTGCCTTCCCAAACTCTAGAACATTAGCAGGGACAGAGCTCCAATACTCTCAGCAGAGTTTGCTATGTACAGTCAGTACAGCTCAGCTCAAAATGTCTTCTCTGGTCGTTCTGTCATTCCTCAAAAGTCTGTTGTGGGTTGCTTGTTCCTAACTGTGAAAACAATGGAACGTATTGATTATTGCTTAACATTTTGTACAGGAGGAAAACATACATCAGGGTGGCAGACAGAAATAAAATGGGATGTACATATGTTGTTTTCTTTTCTAAGAGCTGTGTGTGTGTGTGTGTGTGTGTGTGTGTGTGTGTGTGTAAGACATAAGCAGCAAGATGGCTTGGTGGCTAATGTGCTTGTCACCAAGTCCAGAAACCCAAGTTCAATCCCCAGGATGCACATGGTAAAAGCAGAGAACGTCCGTTGTCCTTGGACCTCCACACCCCTGCTATAGCAATGCGCTGTCCCCTTTTGAAATGAATAAATAAATATAATAGTTTGTTTTTGCAACTAAAAACAGATGAAGATTTACTTTACCATATTTTAACACACACACTGAAAATAGCATCATCCTATGAACAATCCACATGAAACTAACTAATGAGATAGTTTGCGCTTTTTTTGTATGAAGCCTTAATTCTGAGTATTCGTATTTCAGTTGCTAGATTGCACCAGTGACCGGGTACCATCATCGTGCAGACTAATGTCCCCTTTGCTCACTGAGAAGGAAATGCAAGCCGTAAAGAAGCTACCTCAAACCAGATGGGAGCCGGAGGCTAAAACAGGATCTGGTGACCTAGAATGAAGGGGGACCCTCTTCCTGAAACCTAGAATGAGAAAACAACGCTATGGACGAAGGTGAAAGAAAGTAACCATTAAAGTTCTAAACATTTTTGCACCCCTGACTGCAAATCGGGCAGTTTCTTTTGCTTCTGCAAGCTAAGAGGGGTAGAGACAGACTTCTTGACAGTTACATCAAAGCAGAACACACCCACCATTTCTCCAGAATTTAAGCCTCTATGTCTTATAATGGCCCAATAATCCCACTCCTATGCCCTCAACAGTAAAGAAAATGTATGTTCAAAATAAGAACTATCAGAGACTAGCCACAGCATTTTCAGTAACAAAAAACCAGTGGGGCAGCCTGGATATCCATCAAGAGTAGGTTAAGCAACTGTGATATGCTCACACAATGGAATTGTGCACATCAGTAACTAGGAACAAAGGATGCTCTAAATTTTTTCTTAAATAAAAAAAAAATGTGATAGTCAAAGGTAGCATGCCAGTCGGGCTGTGGTGGCACGCCTTTAATCCCAGCACTCAGGAGGCAGGCAGATCTCTGTGAGTTCTAGACCAGCCTGGTCTACAAGAGCTAGTTCCAGGACAGCCTCCAAAGCCACAGAGAAACCCTGTCTTGAAAAACAAAAGAAAAGAAAACAAAACAAACAAAAAAATCCCCAAAACAAACGAAACAAAAATAGTAGCATGCCCACTGACAGTCTACATAGGGTCTAAAAACAAGCAAGGCTATGAGGGTGAGAGAAACCAGAGCAACTGGGCAGCAGTAATAGCAAGTCAATAAGAAGGCTACAGCAGTCTCAGGCCCACTGAAGTTCTGCGGCTTGGATAGGTGGTGGTTGTGTCGTGTGCATTTTTGTTCAGTCTCCGTGAACTGAGCATTTTGTGTTAACTCACTTCCCATGACTAGAACAAGCACAGGAGATAACTCACTAAGAGACCAGGCTGTCCTGAAGTTTTAGAAGTTTGAGTCCATCATCGGACACTGTGGCAAGGCATGGCAGGACGGCTGAAGAGCTTGAAGACCGTTCAGCTCAGACCAAGGTAGTGAAGAGGACAGGCTCCCGTTGTCCCCTTCAAGTGTGGGTTCAGTGACCTAGGGTCCAGTCCTAGGTCCACTCCTCTCACGCTGAGGGCCAGGCCTCACGCAGGGGCCTCTGGAGTCCTTTAACAAGCAAACTATAAAATCTGTACATATCTAATCGGTAAGTTCAAAATCGAATGAAAACTAAGTTGTTTAAATGTAAAAGTAAAATGACGCTTTGCAGACACTCAGGCAGTATCTACTCCTTGTCCTTAAGGAGAGACTTCTGTCTCTTTAATCCTACTCTACAGCATTTTACTGACCCTCTCTCCTTCCCAAATCAAATCCTACTAAGGCTGAGCGACCATCAGTCTCTTGGTGATCATTTTCACCAAAGAGTTAATGAGAGCTGAGGCTGCGGGTGAGGCTTTGCGGATCACTCCCACCTCTTCATCAGTCAGTCCTCTAGAACGGTTTTAGGATTTTTCTCTTTAATGCGAGAAACAATTTTTCAAAGAGTAAACAATTAACATATGTGATTCAGTACATTAAACAACTTCATCACCTCTTTATTAGTCCTGAATGTGGCCATATCTGGGAAATTTGAATCAATGTGTTTCCAGCTATTTTCCGATGACATTTAACAGTCAGACTTAAAAACACAGAAGAAAGCATTATCAGTTTTATCCAAAATGATTATGGCCACCGTTTGAATGAAATACACATTTTGCAAGCTATAAACCATATCATTACCACACACTGGCTTGAGTGAGGTTTGGTTCACAAACTACGGTGATCTAACAAAGCCATTAAATCTGTCTAAAGGGGACTCATTTGGGAAGCAATAAAAATTTTAATCATTTTATTATTAAAAGAGTGTTTAATATGTAGCTAATTAAATGCCAAAGGCAGGTTATCTGAGTTTAACCTTCAAAAAGAAAATGATGTATCAAAGTCTGCCTCTGGCATCATGGGATAGAAATGTCATCCTCCTAATCATTGTGTGACGACTAGCTGGTGGCCTTTTCTAGAGCTATAGTTAAATTACCTGATTAAATTAATAGCCATTTAGATGTTTTAGGAACTGCACAGACCTATACTAAATGAAAATTAGGTCCATTACATTCTCCGAGTGGGCTAGATAGGTCCTAAAATAAAACATGTATGCCATTGCCCACATTACTTAGATTAAGCAATTAAAAGCTCCTTCTGAAAAGTGACTAATTCCCTATAATGTGAGGACAACTGGATCTCCCACTAATGACCACAGGTAGGGCTGCTTGCCTTTACTGCTTGTTTTTTTTTTCTTTATTTCTCTCACTCTCCTTAAGTCCTGTTTGTTGTAAAACAGAATATTAAAATTTGAATGCACCACATAAATAAGTAGCTACACGAAACTATTTGTTATTTACAAGACAACCAAAAGTGACATCGTGTAAGCAAAGAGGCTAGAGAGTGGACTGGAAAACCATCTCAACTGGAACCGCCTGTCACTAGGGCTTTGCGGTCTGCAGGCTTCACATTTGTTCTTCCCAGAAAGTAATAAAAAGAATACATGTATCTTTCACTTTCCAAGTTAATTCTTTAGCATGAATCATATTATGAATTGTATCAGAAAATACTATATATTTATCAATGTATAAAGGAAGCAAACTGCCATTCCTCCCAAATTATTCCTGTTGAAAACTGTGAACTTATTTAAGTTTTAAGGACAGAGTCTTGGGCACAGTTATGTCACCAGTACCCAGAAGAGTGTCCAACACATCATAGGTAGTCAACAAATACTTGCTGGCTTGAAGGCTAGTCTGGTCTTCCATCTCAGATGTAATTTCTAGCACCCATTTAAAAGTTATCTCGCATACTCACATTTTGAGAGCATGCTATAAAATTCAATATTTGCCAAGGAATTTTTAGGCCAGTCTGTATGGTATGAATCTGTGTGATGATTGAGCCACCAAAATAATTTCCTTTATTTATAATTAAGGTTTTGCTTGAATTCATTTCATATCTACCAGAGGTGTAATGCTATAGAGTATTCATGGACTATAAGGGTCTCAAGACAAAAACCTTTAATAATAGTTATCCCAAGATCCTCCCAATGGCTAAGGAACTTAGATCTACTCTAAGATATAGTGTTAATTATAGATAAATTCCAACTGCAATGTGTTCCTAATCAGGCTTAATGCTCTCAGCTGAGGACATAGTCATAAGAATGTGTGAGCGAGCCAGAGTCTGTGTAGACAACATGGGAGTGTTTGTATCTCTCATAGAAAATAAATGCTGTGTGGCTGAGAAATGACGGCTCAGTGGATAAAAGTAGTCACTGTTCCTCCAGAGGACCTGAGCTCTGGTCCCAGAACCCATATTGAGCAACTTAGAACTTAGCCCCAGCTCCAGGGGATCTGATGACACCCCTTCTGTCTTCTGTGGGCCCTGCACTCAAGTGGTGCACATACACAGATACATAAAAAGCAAATAATTCTGTAAATAAAAAGATGTCACAAAAAGAGTTCTACATGCAGAGCAACCTGGGAGCTGCTTGTTGGGTTTCTGTAGTGGCATCTAGTATTGCGGGTAGACAGGGAGTGTGGCCACACCTTAGGGTGTGGCTTAGTAAATGTGGGTTTAAAGGAGTCCACAAATACCCAGATAAAGAATTAACAGGTATTTATTTGGGGAGCACTCACACAATGATGGTAAATAACCGTCTCAGTCTTCCTGCTCCTGGTGATGCAGCCTCTGCCCTTCAGGATGCTCTGACCACAACCCAAGAGACAGCGAGCCAGCCCCTCCTCTTCCTTATAAGGACACATCTGAAGCCACGCCCTAAGACGTGGCCACCACTCCAAGTCCACTACAGGCTTCATGGCATTGGAGGACACAAAGAACATCGCATATGCTTCTGATTGTGTTTCCTTTTTTTTTTCTACAGGAATAATGAACAATACAAACAGGTGTGCTTTCCAAGTTTTTGCACCCAGGTTGATTCGTTTTCATTTCTCGGGTCAGCCCGGCTGCCATCTGACATCTGAATGGGACCATGAAGCTCCATTGCCCATTTTTATCCTCCTATTATGCAGAGCCAGTTTAAAATTTAGTGTATCTTTAGTGGAGCCTGACAGGTGCACTGAGGGTGAGTGGAGGGAAGTAAGAGAGCTAAGAGAGAGCAGCCGAGTAATTTACAGTCCTTGTGTTCATAAAAGCTCAGCAGGCAGTAAGGTCAGATACGCATGCACGCCGTCACAGGGACATCAGCCAGGCCTCCAGATGCTATAGGGCCCTATCCATTATCACTCGACCTGCGTGCGCCACAAGATACTAACATGCCTATCCAGCACCAGTTAATCTGCCGTGACAGTGGAGGAGAACATGACAGCAGCAATACTGGTGGCTGGCACTCATTTCAAACCCAGCCATGACCTGGACCTGTTTCTGACCCTGTGACTTCATAGCCTGGAGTGAGATATCCACCCTGCCTGCACTTGTAGTGATGGGTGCGGTGCGGGCCAGGTGGATATCTCACTACCATATCTGTTACCAGAGTGGCCGGCCAGGAGGGCTATGTGGGTTAGAGTACTGCTCTTACCTTTTGTCAGCTGGATCATCTTGAATGAAGTTTCAGCTTTTTCATCCACAAAAATGTTGATCAAGATACAGCCAAGTCTTAGATTTCTTGATAGACATGAAAAAAGAAAATTTACTATTGTAAAATATGCCACACACATATATATTGACATATTATATATGTCAATATATAATAATGACATATATATTAGGCACACGTGAAATATTGGCTCTTGTGATTATGGCTGATCACCAGAAACTCGTCTATCATGTCAGAATAATTCATTTACTGTATTTTCATTTTTAGATGTATTTGTTTTTATTTCATAAGTATTAATGTTCTGTCTGCATGTGTGTACAAAGTGTATGCAGTGCATACAGAGAACACAAGAGGCCACCAGATACCTGAGTTGTAGCCTCTTGTGAACTACCATGTGGGTGCTGGGAACTGAACTCAGGTCCTCTCTGCAAGAGCAGCAAGTGCTTTTAACCACTGAAACATCTCTCCAGCTCCTGAGAATAAGTTTTCTAAAACTTATTTTCTTTTTAATTCTGTGTATGTACATGGGGGTATTTATACATTGAAGCCTGGGGGGGGGTGGTGCTGAAGAGATAACTCAATGGTTAAGAGTACTGACTACTCTTCCAGAGAACCCAGGTTCAATTCCTAACACCCACATGGCAGCTCACAACTTTCTGTAACTCATGTCTGAGATGCAGATATATGCAGGCAGAACACAAATACTTATAAAATAAAGTTTCTAAAAAAGGAAGCCAGAAGAGAGTTGGAGTTAGAGGCAGTTGTGAGCCACCTGACCCAGGTGTTGGGAAAAGAACCCCGGTCCTCTTTTATAGCACCAAGTGCTCTTAACCACTGAACTAATAATTAATTTTGTTTTAAGACTTAGATATATCCTTTTTGGCTGATTTGATAATATAAAAATCACTCCATTTTCTTATTGAGCTGACATTAACATGTCAAAACTCACACTTTGACAATATCATCATAATTATCTGCTTGAATAGGGAGACAGTTACAATATGCCCTAGGAATTAGAGGCATGAAGCAGAAATGTCTCTACTCAACAGTCTGCCGAAGTTCCTCTCCTTCCCAGACACGGCTCACCTCCAAATACTGTGGAAGTCACTGCAAGGCCACAGCTATCAGGAAATAATCTCACGTGCAAGTTTTGCCATTTACAAAGCACAGCTCTACATAACGCAGTTCACAAATACCCTACAACAAAGAGTTCCATCAACGTTTGAGAAACTGAACTTCTTGTTCAAATTGGCTTTGTACCAAAGAGGTGTTTCTTTCCTTTTCTTTTCTTTTTTTCTTGTAAATGGAGGAAAGAGAAGATGGAGCAGCAAGTACCCCCCCACACACACTTTCACATCTTAGATCTGGGAAGAAAATGATCGGCAGGGTTGTGTTTGATCTGTGGTGAAATGTAATATTCTGTTCAGGAGTTGCCATAAGTGCTCTGATTGAGGGGCACAGCTGGGGACGCACAGGCCCTGCATATTTTTTGCTTCTTTCCTTTCTCATCAGCTGGAGATGTGACAGAGTTGGTAGCAAACCCTCTATCCGGTATATAAAAACCAGGCACTTAGGCATTTTTGAGTGATAATTCAATAGGATTAAATTACACTCCTATGACAGCTGAACCTCACTAATGAGGTACATTTCAGTAAACTGTTGACTGAACTGTCTAGAAGGTTCCTTTAATTTACCAACATGTAACGACATGGGAAAAGCGTTAGTTGGCTCGATGAAGATGATAAGCCATGAGGTCTGTGGGTATTTTACATCAATACCTGACAACCTGAAGGGGTTTCTGTCACCTGCTCTATTTAGCCCAAGGCAGACACAGAATAACTGGTACCTGTTATCGTGATTGACTTACCAAAGCAATGAAAAGAATCCCCGTGAAGAGGGCTGGGTGGAAAACATGTCAGAGAAATCTCTGCTCCTTTCAGTTATCAGGAAGGGTGTTCCTTGCAAAGTGGACAAGGGTTGACAACAAACTTCAAAGAATGCTTCATTTTTTCAAATTCCTTGAGTCTTTCCCTGTTAGATAAAACATGAAAAGTGTCTGTATATATTTTCAGCCAAGTGTTGATTAGGACCCTAGGAAGGCTCACCCTTGCCCACTGAAGCAGTGTGTTCCAATCAAAGGGAAGAAAGAGCACATAAGGAAAAAGATGCCACAAACTAAAGACAAGAAAGCTGAATGGCATGCCTGTTGGAAAACATCTCTAGCTATGATTATACTGGGCAAGAAGAAGGCTTCAAGAGCATTTGCAATCCATTCGAAAAATGTTTTAAAAGCTGCGCTCCTATATTGTCTAGGAAGCAATGGTTTCTTGGGAAAATAACACTAACTCCAAGCTAATGAATTAGGGAGTAGTGTGGGTATAGATGGGTCCTGGGTACTCAGGTATGTTTTAGTAGTTATTCTTTATAAACCAATCAATCACAAAATGTTAGCTTAGAGATGTGTTCTGGCCTATACCTTAGCCAGGTGTGGTGGCACATGCCTGTAATCCCAGCACTCAGAAGCAGAGCCAGGAGGGTCAAGAGTTTGAAGCCAGCTTAGACTCGGTCTAATAAATAAATAAATAAATAAATAAATAAATAACAAATAAACAAAAATTAAGGACTAGGCATGTAACTCAGAGATTCGGTGCTTGCTTAGCCTGTGCAAGACCCTGTGCATATCACCAGTGCCACCAAAATAAGAAAAATGTGTGCCACGCAGGAAAGGTGAAAATTGCATCTTGTGGCCTTTGCATACTCAGGTGCATTGCAGCACTACTACAATGACCAAGTTCAGACGACTGGATAAAGGAAACAGGAGTATATACACAGTGAGATTTAATGTAGCCATAAAGGATGGCATTATTTCATGTGAATGGAAACTGAGACCACAGTCTTAAGTGAAATATGACAGACTCCGAAAGACTAACGCACGCCTTTCCTCTTATGTGAAATGCAGTTTTAAGAGTGAAGGTGGGTGGGTAGAGAGATGGCTCAGTGGTTAATAACACTTGTTGCTCTTACAGAAGATCTGGGTTCAGTTCTGGGCAACCACAAGAGAGCTCACAACCATCTGTCTCTCAGTTCCAGGGGACCCCACACCCGACTCTGACCTCCAGGGCACTGCATGCGTGTTGTCAACACGCATATATGAAGGCAAAGCACTGTACACATGCACTGAGAATAAATTTAAAATTTAATCTAATTTTTAAAATAGTTGGGGAGATGAAAGAAAAATGGGACTATGAGAAAAGGAAAGGGAGCCGCCGGACAGGGCGGGAGGACACATGAAGGTGACGATGGATGAATATGAGTGCATGAGAAGGCTAGAAGGAAGCCTAGTATTTTGTACAATTAATGGATGGTAACAAAAAAAATGGGAGGGAAGTAGAAAAAAATACTACCTTACTCTAAATTGCCAGGCATTTTTTACAAGAATTCAACTTTTTTTTTTTTTCTTGAGGCAGGATCTTACACTATAGCCTGGGATGGTCTTGGACTCATGATTCTCCTGCATCAGCTTCCCAAGGGCTGGGCTGATGGGTGTGCACCTCCATACTCAGCTAAGAATTAGCTCTGGAGTGTCAAACACACCAGAGAGAAATGCAGGTTTGGCCAATCCAAAGCACCAGCTAATCCATAAGCCACATCTATTAGGCTTCAAAAGCACGAGACTCATAGGTTGCTGACTCAAGTCATCTTTTTTATTGTTTGTTTGTTTGTTTGAAACAGTGACTCATGGAGTCAGTCTGGCCTGCGACTCCTTATCCTCCGGCCTCTGCCTCCTAAGTGGTAGGATGGCCATGTGTGTTACCGCTACGCCTTGCTGCTGTTACTCATTTTGATCTGGCTGTCACTCCCAGAGACTGAATGAGAAATAGCAACTCCACAGTTTGCCCTGACACAGGATACACAGGAAAAAAAAACTGAGAAAATCACCCAGTCACACTATCCACGCATGCATATGCAACATTTCAGACCCTGAAGCAAGAGAAGAAGTCTTCATAGTTTGCAAGAACACTGACAGGGAGTTTGCATAATAGAGTGGAGACACCGGACCAGAAAAATTGGAAGACAAACAGGTTTTCCTCCAGCACTGAAAGGCTCCTTTGCTGGCTCTGATTGTGTCTTAGGCTCTGAACAGTGGTAGTTATTGCTGTGGCTTGAATATACAACAGTCATATAGGCTTCTTTATTATCTGAATGCCTGGCTGGCACCTAACCCCAGCCCTAACCCTGAGCCTCTTCAGTTCCCAGAGGGCTGTGCTGTCTAAGGACAGTCCTAGGGGTCTAGAGCCAGATTGGAGGAAGTGGGTCACTGTGCACGGTCCTTATTATCCTTTGTTGATTCTGGTCTCTCTTGGCCTCTCCTTCTTGGTCTGTTGTTATGAGCTGAGACACTCCACTCTCCGTGATGGACTGACCTCTCTGAGGCCCTGAGCCCAAATAAACAACCATTTCTTTTTTGTTAGACATTTGTTCATGGTAACGAAAGACTATTTATCACAGTTAAAAATGACCAAAAAAAAAATCATGAAAATTTCCCCCATGTTTTCTTATTCAAAAGATGTCACCATCATTCCAGTTGTTTCTGTGGGTTAAACTTGAACCCAGCACTTTAACAGCTGGCTTCACATCAGCCATTCACAAGGCGCAAAAAATACCCCATTTTTCTGACTCCAAATTCGAGTACTGAAAGTATCAAAGGCCAAATAGTCTTTGTAAATACTTCCACAATGAAATGTTAATAATGAAACATTAAGAGACTGAGAAAGCAAACAATTGCTGGAGAGATGACTCAGCACTTAAGAGTATTGGCTGCTTTTCGTGGGACATGAGCTTGGCTCCCAGCATCCCAGCATGGTGGACTGTAACTGGCTTTAACTCCAGTTTCAAGGAATGGGATATCCCCTTCTGGTCTCAGGCATCAGGCACACACATGGTGTCCATACATACCAGCAGGCAAAATACTCATACACATTAAATAAATACGTAAATATTTGAAGATATTACTTGAAAATCCTCATCTAAATATTAAAATGTTTATTTCTCAATAATGTATATGCTATGAAACTAACCTTTGGGGAAATATCCACTTAGAAAAGTCATCCCAAATTATTGCAATCATTTGGCAATTGCCATTTAATAACAGCGTCAATAACTTGAAAATTAAAAATAAACAACCAGGTTTTATCTGAGGTTAATTTAGCTATCCAATCAATTATTTAGGGATGTTTTAATAATGCCAGCTAGTTGGGTGTGGTGTTTTGGCATATGCTCATAATCTCAGCAAGTGAGGAAGAGAAAGACAGTGTAAGACCCCCCACCCCGAAGCTCAGGCCCCCAGGATCTCAGCCCAGGACCCCAGTCACCCCAATCACCAGGCGGAGTGGAAAGCTTGATGCAAACTGCACCAGGCTTTATTGAAGTTGTTTAATGAGCTAACCCGATGTTAGCTCCGGTCTTTCATCCACCCATCATGGCAGTTAGCTAGGAAAGACAGCTCAAAGTGGGTGCATAGAGATTTTATAGGGCAGTGTAAGGGGAGTGTCTAGGGGTACGCACAGGCTCAGGATTGGTGTGCCTCCAGGCTTGGAGGTTTTGCCCTGTGTTGATTGGTCAACTGGTTGTTATGGCCCATAGGCCCTCCCAGGGCAATTGCTATGCTCTTCGAGTCATTGTCGTGCACTTGTCGGTAAAGCACACCCAGAGCTGTAAAGCATAGCACCACCAGCTAACTTCTGATTGGTTCCTTGCCACAAGGCAGGCATCTGACCTCCTAGTGACCAAGACAAGGTTAAGGCAAGCATGTGTTACAGTCATGGCTGCCGAAATGGGGAGCTGGTCCCTTCAACAGAATAGAGTTTGAGGTCATTCTGGGTTACACAAGGAGTTTGAAACCAGCCAGGGCTGCATGTCTCAAGAAAGAAAGAGAAAGAGAAAAGCAGTTAGTAAATAAGTAAATAAAATTTTGCCAGCAGTTGACAGTGACTATTACTGTTGTTATTAATTTAGCATGTAAAATAATGTTTTAATAATGATATTTTAATGTTTTTGGAGGTGGACAATAAATAACTATTTGAAGGAGGTAAAGACAGTCCTAGATAAACCATAATTAGGCTCTGGGTCTGCAGCATCCCAACCCCTCCACAATCGCTGAAGCTAGAATCAGTCAGTCAGCCTTACAAGGCAAAGCTTCTTCCTGGGGGTGTTGGTTCACATCAGCTTTCTGGGTACCACAGTCCTGTTGCGGATCCCAGGAGGAGATGGAGAACCGGTAGCCAGGACAGCGAGTTCCAAGTGCAGGAGGAGACCCTGTCTCAAAGACAAAGATGGAAGACACCAGACAGTGACCTTGGCTTCCACAGGTATATGCTCAGATGAATTACACACACACACACACACACACACACACACACACACACACACGCACGCACGCACGCACGCACGCACACACGCGACCAGTAGAGGTGAGAACGCTTCCATCACAAGAAGCCATTAAAAGACTAAAAGCAAAAGGAGACAGAAGTGTTACAGTGAAACAGAGAGGATTGAAAACAAGACCCAGGACTTTAGAAACCTCAGAAAAGGAACCGAAAGGAAGCACGTGGGGCTGGGGCTAATGCACGGCGATCTGGTCTGATTTGCTCTACAAATCCAAGGCACAGGGGTCCCATCTGGCTTCAGAACACTACACTGTCTCACCAAGTAGGTCCGTAAGCACTGGAGCACCATAGACCTCAACGTTAGGCTGAGTTTACAGAATGCAGCTCTGAGGCAGGCAGCCCAGAGAGAACCGATGGTGCCCGTCAGCAGGAGCACTCCCAGGTGCCCTGCAATTTGCAGTCCCTGGTGCTTGACCCCTCCAAACCATAATGATAATTGCTGCTGTGTCGCCAGCTGGGCTTCCGAACAACTCCAGGGTTAGTGCCCTCCCTCACTAAGGCCGCCTTGGTAGTGGGAACCCCACACGTCTGACTGTGATAAGTTACTCCGTGATCGTCTCAGCAGTGCTCAGTAGCAGGCATTAT